AAAAAAAAAATGAAAAAAAAACCTTATCGACATATCAACGAGGAGGAGTAAACGGCAAAAAAGCAACACTATTCTAACCAAAATGCAAACACAGCAACCAATTTCGTAGATTTTTACGCTTTCCGTTAATGAGCAAAAAAAAAAAAGAAACTTGTGATACATTACATGAAGAAAAAAAAAATAAAAACATACACACACAAAAAAAAAAAGAAGAAAAATTTTAAAATTTTCTTTTTTTTGATTGATTGTTTTACTGCTTTTTTTTTTCCTTTGTCTGCAATCATTTGTAATCACAGAATTAAGTATTGAAAGCAGAAAAAAAAAAAAAGAAATAATAATAAAGAAGGGACAAAAATTTTAAAAGAAAATTTTATAAAATTTTATGAATCTATCTATGTAAACGCTGTTAACAAATGCTTTTTTTCATATTGCATATTATTTTCAATTATTATTCAATCATGAAAAATGAAAAAAAAAGAAAAAGAAGAAGATATCATATTTGTTCCGGACCTTAACAGAACTGCCAATGTTGTGAAAATCGGAAATCTTATAAATAACAACAGCTTTTTTTGAACCCCGGTCAATAACCAACAAACTACAAGGGTCTGCATAGCCAGCTAACCAACAATTTCTTGTAACCAAATATATTTTTAGAAATAGTGCTTTTCTGGAACAGCCAGTAATGAAAAGATTTCATTTTTCCTAGCAATTATGTGTTTAATGTCTTTGCAAAAAGCATTAATGTTTATCTGCCCCGTTTGATGACGTTGATGGCACCGATGGCGGCTATGATGTTTATTAAGATGAGGATGCTGATGATGATGATGATGATGGTGATGGTGATGGTATTGGTTATGATGGCAGAAAAGCGATGAATTTTGCTGTTAGTGAACTGCAATCGGCTTGGTGGATTTAAGAAGGATATGAGTAACGGATGGGAGATGGGGAAAGGAATGGAAAAGGAGAACGGGAAGAGGAAAACGATTGGCAAAGGGGAATATGAGATCTGTTATATCATGCAGTTTGCAAAAAGACGGAATTGGCTGAGTGAAAGTGTTGCGAGGCTTTGATATTTATTTGAGCTTAATGGAAGAAATATTTTTTGTTGTTTTGCAAGAAGCTCGTTAAAAATCCCTTCAATTTTTTGCCGATACCTTAAGTAAAAATTTTCGTTGCTTAGCATCAGAAAAAAAAAAAAGTGTGTGTGTGTGT